GTGACCCAGCCAAGGATTTGTGAACATTAAGCCCTCCTCTTGAAAAGACTAAGGCCAGCTGAGTTACTACTGGTCATGAGAAGGTTGGTCAGACTTGCCTCCCCATCCCCCTTCCTGCTGGGGGACACCCTTTGTAAGTCATCAACAGGCCTAAGGGGAGTGGGGGGGGGGGCAAAGCTTGATCCACACCTGTAGGTCCTCAATTTAGTTAATGTATCATTGAGTCTGGGTATATGGCCAGCGGTTTGTCTCTGATTTACAGACTTCCTCAATCTTAAAGCATTTCAAGCCTTTAAACCAGTGGTTCTCAACCTTCCTAATGCCACGGCCTTTTAATACAGTTCCTGTGGGTTGCGACCCACAGGTTGAGAACCGCTGCTTTACACAAAGTTTCATTCCTTTAACCAATTACACATGAGTCTTTAAACCCACCTGTAACATGTACGACCCTCTATTTTTTTTTTTTTTTTTTTGAGACGGAGCCTCAAGCTATTCCCCTGGGTAGAGTGCCATGGCATCATGCTCACAGCAACCTCCAACTCCTGGGCTCAAGCGAGTCTCCTGCCTCCGCCTCCCAAGTAGCTGGGACCACAGGCGCCCGCCACAACGCCCGGCTATTTTTTGGTTGCAGCCGTCATTGTTGTTTGGCGGGTCCGGACTGGGGATTCGAACCCGCCACCTCAGGTGTACGTGGCTGGCGCCTTAGCCGGTTGAGCCACAGGCGCCGAGCCACGACCCTCTACTTTTGCAGGCCAAATCACTGTCTGCCTGTACACCTCCCCTGTGACTTTATTTGTAATTCCTGCCCCCCTGAATTGTATAAAACCAAACAGTAGCCCCACTGTGGCAGAACTGCCTGCTGAAGGCTTCTTGGAGATAGTTACCTAGGCCATGGTCACACATACCCGGCTGAGAATAAACCTCTTTAAATTGTTTCAGAGTTTGGCTTCTTTTCCATTGACAGATTACATTTTGCTTTTTATTTACTAAGAGAAAAAAAAAAAGAAGTAAAATGTACAGACCGCTATAATGTAAATGTCAGTAGAGCTGGGATGCTGCCCTTCACTACCTTATATCCAGAACTTAGAAATTTTGCTTGTGAGAAATTCAGAAGTAATTTAAAGAGCCCAGGCCACTGGTCACAGAGCGCAGGGACCACGTGTGACTCGTGGCCTGGGCTCTTTAAAAGTGCTGCTGTTTTCAAAGGGCAAAAAATGGCAAGAGAATTACTTCAGATAGAAGGAGACAAAGGATAAACAGATGCACTGTGTGGCCCTTCACTGGATCCTTTCTGGGGACAGGGAGAGTTTGAGTCTGGGCCACTTGTTGGTTGTTAGGGAGTCAGTGTTGAGTTCCTGGGCTACAGTAACAGCTTTGTGACTTTGTGAATGTGCTGAGCGCTTCAGCAATACCTGTGCAAGTTCAGTGTCTGCAACTGCTTTCCTCTAGTTCCTCCAGTTATTTTTATTTAAAATTTTTTCTCTCACTTTATTGAGGTGTACACAAAATGGCACATAACACAGCCTACTTTGAAATGGTTCAGTAGAGGTAAATTACTGTGTGAGCACATATGTGTATACGTCTCCACACTGAAAACATGGCAACAGATCAGCCCCGGTGAGTCGAGGAGAAGAAGAGCTGTGGGTACTCACAGTCACGGTCTTTCAGTCATTCTGTGGCTTTAAAAACTCCGGAGTGAAAATTGAGGACCACGGAGCATCATAATTTGCTTGCATGTTTGTTTCAAATAAATAGAATTGACTAATCACCATATTTTGTTGGTTTATCTTTTTTTTTTGAGGCAGAGTCTCACTCTGTCACCCTGAGTAGAGTGCCATCGTGTCATCATAGCTCACAGCAACCTCCAACCCTGGGGCTCAAGCGATCCTCTTGCCTCAGTTTTTCTATTTTTAGTAGAGGCGGGGTCTTGCTCTTTCTCAGGTCTTCCTTGCGAAGTCCTTTCTCTATAATGGTACCGTATGTGCTCAGTTTTGGAGCACAGAGAATGAATGTTCCATATTTTGCAAGTTGGTGGGACCACACCTATGGTGCATCTTACAAGGGTACATCTGAAATTTACTAGGTATAGAATATAAATGTCTTAACACAATAACTAAGAAAATGCCATGAAGGCTATGTTAACCAGTTTGATGAAAACATTTCAAGTTGTATATAAAACCAGCACATTGTACCCTATGATTACATTAATGTATACAGCTATGATTTGATTAAAAAAATAATAATAACTGACATCTTTGTGCTTTGGTGTTCCAAAATTTTTAAGGCTATGAGGAAGAGTTACATTATCAACATATTCTCTAGACTTAAAGTTCTCAATTAAGTCATGAGGTTGTAAAAACACATCAAGTAAGTTTGCTTATTCTTGCCTTTAGCTGTGATTCAAAACTAAAAAAAGTAAATCTAACATAGCGGCTTGCTGAGGAGACGGAAAAGAGGTCTTAGGGAGGCCCCTGGCGGCCTTTCCGTGACTCTCAGTGATTTCTCCTGGTAGGATAGTCGGGGATTAACAGCAGAGCTGCTCCTAAGTTCTGGGCCTGGAGATAATGTGCATCTTGGTTTTATCGTGATCTGCGTTTGAGGAAATCAGGTCAGTGACTTTGGGGTCTATTACTTTCCAGAGACCACGTCTTGGAGAGGAGGGCTTTGTGTGCCTAAGACTGTGTTAAGGCCCAGCTCCTGTCTGTAGGGTTGTTCCCTAAAGAGGGACCATGGAACGCTGGACCCAAACCACCAGGAATGCTGCTTTAAAAATACTGATCTTTCACCCAGGGCAGTGAATCAGAAACTCTGGGGATGGAACCAAGTCAGTACCTAAAATAAATACTTGCAAATGATTATTATCCACACAGAAGTTTGAGAAGTATTGCAATGATGAATTAACTTGGATCTGTATTAATTTTCAGCTACTGTGTAGACATTAAGCTGAGGAATAAGGCCTAATACAAAGACTGTGGCTTTCACTGTCAAGCAGCTTCTTAAATACTCGATATGGATAATAACATCGGGGTGAGAATTTAAAGATGTGTGGGAACTTTGAAAAAAGAATGTGCTGATTTAATAAACTAAGGAAGAAAGCTTAGGATAAAAGATTTTATTCACATGATAATTCAGGGCCAACTTAGTGACAAGGCTATTCTTTTAAATTCTCCAAATTATAGTCTCAGGGTATGTTATTAGGAAAAAAAAAAGAAAGCACAGCTGTTTCCCTTTGCTTTTTTAATAAGTCAATTATGCCCATTTTAGTTATCCAGTGTAACACATTGAACAATGAAGATCTTGGTATTAATAGTCAGCATTCATAGCATTCAGATCTTGGTATTAATAGTCATATCAAAACACCTCAGGTCCCATCTTCCCTCTCCAAACATCTGTAAGGCATAATTTTTGTAAAAATATAGCTATCCACTCATATAATTGGCAAGGTAGAACAGCTGTTCTCAGAGACACTGGTCTTTAATCATGGCTGGCATTTTCATCACCTGGCCGACGTTTGTGCTCCACTATAAGTCAACTAAATCAGGATCTCCTGATTGCCCAACATTTTTTTGTTTGCTTTTTAGTTCCCTAGGTAATTCTACTTTGGGGCATTTCCCAGACAGCGCAGCATTTACCTGACTCAAGCAATGCAGTTCAGCAAGAACAGTAATCAGTGGAAAGTTTGCCCGAAGTCACTGCTGTCGTCCCTTTCACGTCTGCCGTCTCTAAGCCAGGTTTGTAGAAAAGGCTGGGGTGCTGGGGCAGCACTGTAACGCCCTAGCAGACTTTCTTTTTCCACATTCCCTTCTTTTATTCCCATGTGCTTAGACTAAGAGATTATGAAGAACAGACCTGCAAAATGCACGTGCCTCCTCTACAAGATATTCTTGAAAACTTTACAACATGGCGCTATCATTCAGAAGGTAGTTGGGAGCAAATTTTTCAGTCTTACTATTAGAAATAGTAAATGTTTAATGGATTCATGAATTATGTAAGTAATCAGGTTCTATTTATTGAGTTGCTGGAAAGTTTGGAGCCAAATTTGTTCTCCACAAGCAGGTGTCATAGGGCTCATTCCTGTGTCGATGTTTCCATTTTTGTATTTGTTTTCACTCTTCTGTCTCCTCAGAATTTATCACGTTGGTCTATGCTTTTTGCCTCAATTAAACCACTGTAACACTGTTCAGGAAGAAGATTAGGTGCACGTAACATTAAAATGATGTAGCTAATAGAGCTGATGATCAAACAGTGCAAAGACAGCTGTGGTACAAGTCAACCAACTTCCTCAGTGTAAGAAAACTTGAATAGCATCTAAGTAAAGCTGTAAAAGATGTGTCCTGGGCACGGGAGTCATTTTGATGTTGAAATGAAAATACAAAGATACGGTGTGTTCACCACCGATGTGCTGAAAGGCGTGTGAAGCAATGATCAGAGGGAGGGAAAATGTATCCTCCATTTGAGAAGATGAAGCACAAGGATTAAAAAGAGGTGAAGTTTCTAGAAGTTTCTAGGTATGGAGGACGCCTAAACTTCAACATGATTAGGTAAAATACCCAGGAAGTGACAAAATCTTTCGATTACATTCTCTTCAATATCAATTATCAGGTAAAAAAAAAAATCTAGCTAAAGTTAGACCTTAAAAAATCACATATCTGGAAAACATTCTAATATGACTCTTATTTGCAAAGTAGCCTGTGTGTTGTTTTCATGATTAGTCATTACATTTCTATTATTCCACCAATGGAGATGCCTGAAATGCAAGTAGGCATTTGAAAAAAGACTTCTAGAGCCCCATCATTTAAAAATGAAATGTTATCAGGGTCTTTCTAAATTGCATTGATAGATTATGAAAAAAATGTTTTTAAAGTAGTTTGCAGTCAGTGTATGAGATGAATATTCCTGTGGATAGCGGGAATCTGGGTGAAATTATTCTTTAAAAGGAAAATCAGTAGTAGTGGATTCATTTGCAAATGCAATTTTAAATCTGAAACACAGGCTTCCTCTTAGCTATGATCACCTTTTATTAAAGTTTTTAGCCTCTGATTGATACACAGGCAAAACCCCTCTGATTGTAAAAGAGAGCCTGATCTTACAGATGCATGTAAACTCAGGCTGGTTTTTAATTTATATTGGCTACATAACAAAATATCCTCTAAATTTTGTACAATATAACATATATTTTTTTTTGGTTGAAGACATTGAGTTAAGTTTCACTAATATTTGTGTTTGTGTAATTTTTACAAAAGTTGTATACAAAACCTGCAAGTATGCAAAGATTGCAATATCACTCTGACAGCTAATGCTCTGAAAACACTTTATTACACAAATTACATTCAGGTTCTGAAAATAGTGATCTAACAGTGTAACCATCTAAAAATAAGACATCCAGAAACACACCGACTGAAGAAGAACATTTTAAAAAGAATTTAAATAGAGACTTTTTTTCTTTCCCTCATTGCAATATAATGTTAGTGATTTTAAAAAAATAGAAGGAGATTTAGCAGCTTTGCCATCATGTAGCACAAAGTTTCTCTGTACTGCCACGGGCGGAGAATGCTGACCAGGAAAGGCACCAGGAGAAGACACGGGCAATGAAAGTGCTGCTGGGGTACTGGGTGCGAGCGGAGAACGGGGTTATCTACATCCACTGCGAAGCCGGACGTGTAAATGAGCAAAACCCTCCAGGTAAGACGAGTGCTCTGACGGGACAAGGGGACCGTGCCTCTGTCCTATGCTCTACAGACAATGGCACTCTCCTGAGCTTTCAGGAAACTCCTCAGCTAGAAACAGAAGCCAACGTAACCAAAGCAAGGCAAAGAAAATGTGTACAGTCCCACAGTGACCAGTACGGTTTACAATTAAATACGGAGAACTTTAAACGTGCTAAAGGGAAAGGAATCGGCATTCTTGGTTCGTGTCACTCAGTCAAAACAGAGGCCTGGTTTTCAGGAGGAGGAGGGCAGAGGCGCTGAGTACTCCTCTTCAGATTCGCTGCCCTCGTCCTCGTCCTTCTCCTGGTCACTCCCCTCCGTGCTCAGGCGGTCGAACCCCTTCCGGCTGTAGCCCTTCCGGCTGGCGAAGAAATTCCCAAGGTTTAAGCCTCCGCTTCCCTTTCCTGAAGAAAGCAAACAGCAACAAAAAATTGAGGTAAAGTTTGCACAAGTGATGCTTAATCTCCTTATAAATTCTCAAGTGGCAAATTAAGTCAGAATTTGGGGACGGGAAGAGGTAGAATTTAAAAAAAAACAGTGACAGAAAGACACATCCTACAGAACCAGACAGATACTAATCCACAGACGCTCCCCAGCACGGTGTGTCTGTGGAAATATTTGAAATATTTCAGATTCCCGTTTCCTCTCCTGCTTCCCCCCAGCTCTCTGCACAACTGGCATCCCTCCAGCAGCTCCCTTCATCTCGATGATCTTTTTGAAAAGGTCATCTCCACTATGACAAGCACTGACACGCTGACAGAAGTGACAGGAAATTGACTGAAGACCAATGAAGCGACATAAAAGGCAGGAAAAGACTCAGAGAACACAGAACGGCAACAGCACAGAAAATGGAAACCAGAAACTTGCTGCAGGGATCCCCTTTGGTTTAGGTCACGGTTTGCATCCAGCGTCTACACTGGGGATGCTGTGTGTTTCGTTTTCAGAAACAAATGTGAAATATCTCCTTGCTCTTTTAAAGGACACAAGCTTGTTGACGTTGAACCAAATGTGCAGTGATCTGAAAGGTCACAGGCATACCTCTAAATCTTCCTAGTACTCTTCCTGAACTTGCCTCGAGTTTGTGTTCACAATCTGTTAAAAAAGAAAAAAAATAAGATGGCACATTTCAAAATGAGTTCCAATCACCCTCCTTAACCTAAATAGGCTCAACTTCCAACTAAAATCTGGAATTCATAAATGATTAACAAGTCCTGGCTCTTTTCTGTATGCAATGCTAAGAAAAAAAGGTAATATAATACAGAGATGTACGTAAGTGCGTGAGCTGGGCTTGGCTCCTGCAGTCTGTCCTATCTTGATAAATTACTTCTCCAAGCTTCAGTTTTCTCCTCTGAGAAAAGAGCCATCAAGGATAATCCCTGCCCACCTGCCAGGGAGAAACAGGCGCTGCACGGATGTGTTTAGCGCAGTGCCTGGTACATGGGCGATAATGATTGTAGGACAGTAGTGACTGTCCTACGATAGGCTTGTTACCATTATTTATAAAAGTTTAGACGCTTCGGCTACTGTAATTAGGAATATTTGTTTTAGGTTTTACCCTTTCTACTAAGAACAGTATGCATTCTGCTTGAGAAAGCTTTGCATCCATGTACCGAATTTCAGCTGATACCCTGAGGACTGTCCAAGCACCCCAGGTGACTCTAAGGCTCCCACAAGGCTGCCCATCTCCATGAAGGAGGGATGAACCCTTGGTGGATTTCAACATTTCCCTTCCCTTGTGTCCCCCACTCTCTCAAGGGCTATGGCCAGATGCCAGGAGACCCTCCAGCCCAGCCCTGGGGGTCTCCTATTACGTCTCTACCCAGGAGTTAAGCAGCCGCATGGAAGCAGCTCACAGGCAGGATGGTGCTAGGCTTGAAGGGAAGACACTCGTGCGACTGCTAGAAAGCCAACAGACTAGAAGGTAAGTTCCACAAGGATGCAGGACATCCCGAGGCTGTGCTGAAAGGGTGGGTCCTTCACGAGGACAGACTGGATAAGATTTATCAAGAACCAATGTTGGAAAAAGGTGGGAGGCTGATCCACTTTTAGAATTAAATACATTGGACTGAACCACCCACAGCTGCATTTTTGCTAAATACAACACGGTTGAGTGATGGCAACTTCCTATAGTCCAACCCGGGTTTCTGCCTTCCCAGCCCACTCCTATAAAGTCAGCATTATGCGGCAGTGCCACATCACATGTGCAAAAGGAGGGATCAAAACTTCTCAACTCTCTATCCACTTCCCCCACCACACAGGTTGCTAACACCATCCCTGCCACCTGTCCACAGGCCTCCCTGTCCCTGAGCCCTGTGTGTTTGTCACCACACTTACTACCCTGCACTGTAACCTGCGTGCACAATCGCTCTTCTACATGGCATCCACTCGGTGAGAGCTCAGATTTATCTATTCATTCATTCTTTCAATAACTACTGAACCCTTAGTGTTGGGGACTGTTATTTGTGCTGGAGATACTTCGATACATCAGTAAACAAGATGCACATGATTTTTACTCTTTTGAAGCTTCCCTCTAATTCCTCGAAGACGGTAACGTTTATTTCTCTTTGCCCTGTGTATGACAGTTTCAGATTCATAACTGGGGATCAATGTAAGTTCTTTTTGACAAGAATTAACCATATTTTTGCAGAGATTTATTGACTGCAGATGAAAGACAAAAGCAAGTCCAGGAAAAACTTATTAAACTGAATTCTTTGTTTTCTGTTTCCACGCCTTTTTCTGTGTCAGGGCTTTGCCATGGGCACGGAGTCCCTGCCATGGCCGCCTTGATGCTGTTTCTTGATCAAACACCACCTCCGTCCCCAGTCCAGGGATTTCTTCCTAGACACAGCTGTAGATTTTTGCCTTAGGGACCCAGCCAAGGGACTGCTATTGAGAGGTGGGAATAATGGGTTGGGATATTTGTTTATTTGGATGGCCTGAGTGGAACTCAGCTCTTGGATCAGTATTGTACAAATTCCTGACTCCAGTACTGAATGCTGCCCTGTTCAGTAATCATAGGCTATGGCCTAAATTATGTCTACCCAGAAACTAACAAATGGTTTGGTATAGAAACAGTTGGTTTCCTGAGAAAGCTGAGGTTTAAGACATGCATCTTTATGTCTTCTGTCACTTTATTACCAATTATTATTCATTATAATCATTGCTGATTTTTACCGAGTGCTTACCAGGTGCCAGGCACTGTGATAAATGCCTTATGTGCATTATTTCATTTAACCTTTGTGCAACCTCACAAGGTAATGATTACTCTCTGCAGATATAACTTTGTAGTATAGCCCCACTTCACTGATGATAAAACTATAGTTTAGAGAGATTAAGTAACTTGCCCACAGTTACGGATCTAGGAGCTCCAGCCAGTCTGATGGGGAGAAAAATATGGCCCCCCAAAACTGATGAGGTGCTCTGAGGACTCAGCCTACTGCTAACAGCAGGACCGTCCTTCTCCTCCGTGACCCTGGAGCTAATTTACACCAACTCTTATCACCCACACAGTTGCTATGGAGATAATAATCACACTTAAGGTAACTGCGAAAGGGAAAAATTAAAGGTTATATTTTAATCTAACCCAGATTTTAGAGGCTCCAGATATACTTCCTGTCATTATACCACGGACAGACACAAAACAAAGACAGAGCAAAAAAGTCACAACCCAACTCCTGAGGACAATTAGGCCAAACACGCTTTCCAAGGCAGCCTCCAAGTTCAAGGGGCTCGTTCTACTTGCCTCCAAATGCCCTTGATTTTTTCCACCGAATAAATATGACAATGGCCAGCAAGACGACCACGGGGATAACCAGAAGGGTTGTAATGAGCACAACGGGCACTCCCAGGCCCGGCTCTCTGATCAGTTTTGCTTTCTCTTGCATCTTCCGCAGTTCTGAGGAGGTTGGTGTGTTCTCCATTTTGGTTTCAACAACTGCCTCGGGTTCTTCAGGGAAAGAAGAGTTCACAATATTCAACTGACCCCAAAATTCCAAAACCCTCCCACCCACCCGCGCCCCATCAAATCGACACTGTTCACAAAGGACTTCTCGAGTCCAGTGCATTTGGGGTTTGTGTTTTCATCTCTGAATCTACCACACTGGCAGCAGGGATTGTGATTAGTTTGTATCCACTGAATGATTTTTCACCTCCAAATTGGTTTTTGTAAGTTCCACCTTTACTCCCCTCTTTAGCCATAATTCCATAAAACACATACCCTTCTTTTGTGTTTTTCTGAAGTGAAAAGTAACAGGCAGTGTAGGGAGAGAACTGGTGTACATACTGGAGTCAAGCACACCTGGGCCCAAATCCCAACCCTCCCAGTGCTCGCTACATAACTTTGGGCAAGTTACTTACACTGTTTGGGACGTCATGACCTCTCCTTAAAACTGTGATAATATGACTCCTTTGTAAAACTGTTGGATATAGACGTCTGCCATAGGAAGGCACTTAATAAGTATTTGTTTCCTTGTATGTTTAGTTTATAAATCTTTGTCATGTTCAATGAATTTTTGGTGTTAATTCTACAATTACATAAGGGAAAAATGAACTATGTCCTTTTTGTGGTTTTTAAAATACACTTCTCAACAAAATGTTAAGTGCACAAAGAGGCACTGAAATTCTTCCATCAGCGATGGAAATATCTTGCGGAACTATTCTGCGACACTGGCAGGGACTGGGCAGGTAGCAGGCCTCAAGTATCATTCAGGAAGCTAATGCAATAAAATGACGCCACCTGCCGCAGGGATCTTAGTAAGTGAGGTTGAGCCTTAAGACGTTCCTGTCTCTGAGAAGCACATAGGCATATGTCTGTACGGAAACCCTAGCGTGTGAAGGCTGATAGGAATTTTCCCAGGCTAACAGTTACAAGCACATTTGCCAAGAAGGTTGACGAGGTTTCTGGAATGTCAATTTCTCAGTGGGCCCTTCTGCCCTATTTACAATACAAAGCACATCGTGAGTTCTGAGGGAGACTTCTACAAAATGGTAGGGACAGGCAGCTTAACACAGTCAGGAGAATCTCTGGTTCATGTGGAGTGATCAGTTTAGTAACTTGCAGGACACTCCTCTAAGGGAGTATTTCCCAAATTACTTAAGGCACTGTAAACGTAATTTATAACACAAACAAATGGCAGGTTGTAGCTCTTTGCTGGGACCTTCTGAGCCCGTCAGCTCATGGACCCAGTGACACCGACTGAGTGACTGACATCGGGCAGGTGTTTCTCCCTCGGTCATCCCAGCCGGCCGACGAGGGGGCTGGGACCCCCACCGCTGTGCTGAGCCCCCCACCTGCCTTTCCTTCCCTGTCTGTGGTCAAGGTGAGACCCTCCTTTTTCTTCTTTTGTCCCCTTAAGTGGCTCTTGAAACTTGAAAGGTAGGAAAGGAAAGGGACTGGTCCACAAACTCAGATGGTTCAACTTTAACCTGAGTCCTGTTTCAAAAGGACTATGACTGTGATAACTTTGTTATTGCAGAAAAAAGACACAACATTGCTCTATATTGAAACTCATTCTATTTTTAAACAAGAAAATAGCGATGGGTAGATGGGTAGATTATAGGATTAAACCTAAAGTTAGCAAGCAACCAGTTAGAGGACAGGGAGCGTGAGGCCCCGGGGTGCACTTTGGTTTTTTTTTTTAAATGCAGTGTGCTTGCCTACAGTGTGGTTCATGGGGCCAAGGAAGCAAACCGCACTTGGGAGTTTTGTTGCTGTTTTGTTTTTTTTTTAATTTTCTTAAGACAGATTTACTATCATCCTTTTTTATTGGGGTTAGGGAGAATGAATGTGTGGGCTTTGCTTTTGGTGGGACACTGGTACTTGTGTTTTATCTCTAGTAACTTTATTTGAAAATTTAGGCCCCTGAGTTTTTCATTCTACTGGTTCTAAAACCCTGTTCCTCCTGCTCAGTGATATGACCATTCCGTGTGGGGATGAGTGTCCTCAAAGGTGACCCAAATTTGAAGACTTAAGACCTGTTAAAACTGGCTTGGCTCCTCTCTTTTGTGAAGGGTGGTTTGAATTAAGCTTGAAGATTTTGATAAAAAGATAAGACGCTCCTTTTGTAATAAAAATATAATCTTTAACAAAAGGTTTAACGAGAGCCATATGGGCTGAAGAGGAATAGACAACTTCATTTTAAGCTTGGGTAGCTACTAAACCAGGACTATCATGGCAAGACACATCAATAAAATTCATTATTTGAACTGCTGGCTGGCTACAAGGAGGGGAGGCTTTCAACCCAGGGGACACAGGGGTGTGCACTGCGTAGGAGAAGAAGTGACCTCCAGGATGGCCTCATTCACCTAGACCAGCCAAGGTGAGGTCCACGGGGCTGGGCTGTTCTCAACAGGCCACAGCATCATCTAGAACTTTTTGGCGGGATCTATTTAAACAGAAAGGATTTGAAAGCCTTGTGAAACTCTAGAGGTTTCAGAGTAAACTGCAACCACTTCCAACCTGCAGTTTTGAAAGAATTGACGGTGAACGGGTTGGGGCTTGGCAGGTCCTCCTCTGCACACTTCAGGACAGTGAAGTGTTCAGAGCAGTGAGGTGCTCAGAGCACGGGCCTGGGCCCCCCACAGACCGGGGGGTGAAACCTGGGACATTCACTCCCTGAGGAGGGATTCTCAGGGAGTGGTTGCAGTTTTGTCATGGATATATGGGGATGGCAGCACCTATCAGGAGGCTGGTGTAAAGACCGAATCTGATAATTTTTGTGTAGTCCATTGTTTGCGTTCTGTAAGTGATAGCTTTAACAATAATATCTTTGCCGATGTCTTTCTTCAAGGACAAACAGAACTTATCAATAATTCTATATATACATCAGGGATAGAAAGTTAGAGGACAAGGAACCTTCTTCAGAATTTGAGTGTGCTGTGAGTGTCACTTGGATAGGAGAATTTCTATAAATACCAAACAAGTGCTATTTATTTTATAATATTATCTTACCCCTTGAGCCGGCTATATTTTCTTATCTGTCTACATAAAATCCCTAAACTCCCTCTTGGTTCTTGTTTCTTTCCATCTGTTTTCGACCTGCTTTCATGAGAAAGGAAGAGAAGTAAGTCTGAACATCTAGGTGAATCGTCTGCAAAGCAACTAACAGTGGCATTACTTTTTTACTGAAACATTAGGAGCGCCTCACAGGAAACCCTCGGTGGGAGTCCTTAACCAGAAATGACATCAAAACACTACGGGGGTGGAAAATGGACAAATATCAACTGGAGAAAGGGAGAAAATAACTGGACAGGGATTCCAAAAGAACCCAGTGGCCACCGACTCGTAGCCAAATCCCATTTTCCCATTCCCAATGTTATATACCATCGATATTCTTATTTGTGTCTCTGTGTGTGTTAAATGGACCACTCAAGGGAGTGTAACAAACTGGTCAACATATGGAGCTGGCCAACAAAAAGGGCGGGGCCTGCTGCACAGGTCATGCACATGTGGTGCACGTCCCATCTGTGACAATTAGGGCAACTGAAGGAGGTGGCCACTGCAGGGAGGTGGTCAGCTATGGAGGTCCTGCTGTCTCTCTCTCTCCTTCCACCTCCTGGTAGATCTCTTGGGTTTAGGCTGCTCTGTGTGTGTGTGTGTGTGTGTGTGTGTGTGTGCAGCCTCTCTCTGCCATCTCTCTTTCTCCTTCTACCCACCCTGGTAGATCTCTTGGGTTTAGGCTGCTCTGTGTGTGTGTGTGTGTGTGTGTGCAGCCTCTCTCTGCCATCTCTCT